GTCTGGAATTACTCTTTCAAACAGTGATTGTCCCAAGACATCTGAGGAAAGAGAATATATGGCAAAGGTGCCTTATGCTTCGGCGGTCAGGAACCTCATGTATGCAATGCTTTGTACTTGACCGGACATTTGCCATGCGGTCGGGATTGTTAGCATTTATGCCATTAGGAATAAATGTAACAATATTCTTTGAGACATTTTGACTATTAATAAAGATTTGTTTATTTCATATATCTATGTATTGTCCTCTTTATGTTCATAATGGTTGAATGTATGATAAGCAAACTGAAAGTCTGAGACTGTCATTCTAAATCTTTAGGTCATGCATGTAATGTGAAGAACATGCGGAAGACAAGAATCTAAAGATGATAATCTAAATCATGTGATCCACAATCGAGGGAATAAAGTTGGGCGCTTTATTCATATTAAGATTGTTATGTTGTCTACTTCCTAACGGAGACAACTTGTCTTGGTCGTCGGAGGTGGGACTCCATGGGTAGAGACATTGATATAGTTTCTAATGGTGAAATCTATATTGGATCGGATCAAAGTTGAATTGTTTTAATTAATAATTCTGTTTGAATAAAACAATTCACTTTTGACGAATTATATGTTGTCATCTTAATCCTGAGATGAATAATGAACCCGTATGCTTGACTTGTATCCTTTGATGTACTAAAGGGAGACATCCTAACATTATGTAAAGGTACGCTTACCGGTACATTAGGGGTATGACTCGTGTATGCGTAGATTCGTTATTCATAGATAGTGAAATCCATAGCTCCTATAAAGAGTCAATGATATCCTCTTATGCATTATCAGTGGATTGGAAAATACAAGCGCTCGGCCATTAGACTACTATGTGTCATCTAATGGTTTACTGTTTGTAATGATACGAATAGTATTTTTCTGATGGTATGATAATGGAATATAAGATAAATGTAATTGGGAAGGTAAAACGGAACTTGACCTCAAGTCGATTATGGATATCCTATGGGGATGATACACTAATATATTGAGTTATGGGCTAGAGCTAATCAGAGCTTTGTAAATACACTATATAAACGAGAATGCAACTCTAGGCTTTTAGTGGAATAGTGCTAGAGTTTTATAATCGTGAGATGGACTTGTTGGTTTACAAGTAGCGTTGTGATTATAGGAGCTTGATTTATATATGTCCATCGGGTCCCTTTGCTAGCTCACATAATTTCCTGTAACGATACGGCGTATTTCCTACACATTGGTAACTTGTGTTATTTCCGTAAAAGAGGTTCAAAGTTAATTCATGGGTGATTTATCGGGTGAATTAAATGATAAATTAATTTTAGATAAATTGATTGAATTATTGTTTTAAGAGTTGTTTAATATGGGAAGACTATTATATGACTGTTTTGATCATGTAATTTCTCTATTGGGTTGCTTGAATCAAAACCGAGGCTCTATGCAAGTTTCCCGTGTTGAAAAACTAGGAAAACAACTTTCGTCAGTGCAGACAGGTCGACCGGTCCGGTCGACCGGTTGGTGAAGACAGGTCGACCGGTGAGTTATAACGTCTCTGTCACCAGTCGACCGATTGTAATGTAAAATGCATGCTGACGTGGCAAAATCGACTCTGGATGCGATTAGAACTTTGGGAAACCTAATTATTACGGAAGTATGACTTCCTAAACACTATAAATAGTCTATTAAGTCACTTTATTCATAAGATCACTTGAAAGACTTTTTGGAGGCTATTGATAAAAGATTCCTAAGAGGAAAAATTGTTTAATTCTCAAGAACAATTTTTTCTTTGGCTCTCTTGTGATTGGAAAGAGATCAAGAATACCAAGAGGAGATTGAACGTCGTGTGCCCACCCACACTCCGATCGTAGAAACGAGAATAGCAAAGAAGACCAGTTGGTTGAGGCTCTTTCGGTTGCTGTTTGGAATGCTTTGATCTGTCAGACGTGCAGTTTCCTAAATCTCAAAAGGTATGATTTAGATCTTTAGTATTTATGTTATATGGCATCATGAGCATGTTCTTGGTTGGCTTTGACGTTGATTAAATTTTTTAAATTTCGCTGCACACTCAATGCCATTATTTTCCAACACGGGCTTGAGGGAAGACCTCAAGCTCAGCACTGGCCCATGTCCTCGTCCATAAGGGCCATGGTCAGGCCCAGGCCTAGGCCCTTCACGGGCTGGCCCTAGCCCTCCTAATTATTTTATAATATTTAATTAAAAATATATATATCATATGCCCCCAAAAGATGTGATTTTATTGAATTGAAATAATACAACAAGTACACATAAATAACTGCCTCGTTAAAAATCTTGCCAAGTAAAACCCATGGGGAGATCGGGACAAAACCTTAGCGAAGAAAAAAAGTACAATTTTCTAGGATAAGTAAATTACACTGTTGAAGAATTGATTCTTGAAGATTCTGTTATGTCTAAGTTCAAAAAATATTCTTGAATTGAATCATCTGTATAGTGTTGTTTTCGTCTTATGGCATCTTTACAGTCTTTAACACACATTAGCCCCTCCAAGATATCCGAATACATTCGGCTCCTTTTCTCGTTAAGAATTCGGTTGCTTGCACTAAATGCTTGCTCCGATTCTACTATTGACACTGGAGTTTTCAGAATGTCACGTGCTATTATGGACAGTGTTGGAAAACTATCGGTCTTACTCCTCCACCACTGTAAGATGTCCAGCTTGTCGTCATCGATTACAAAATTATCAACTAGAGATTGTCTCATTGCATAAAACACTTTCATGCAATCAAAACGAGTTGTGTTTCTACATACATGTTTAAATTGCAGGCCAAATGTCGTCTGTATGAATTCTTCAAACGCCGCATCATCTGCAAAAGAAAGAGGTAATTCGGCACTAGTTAAAAGTTTAACTAGTACCTTAGGAGCACGTTGTGCGTCGTATGTAAAATTTTATAACCCTTATGATGTGAGTGATAGTGTTTGTTGGTGGGAGTCCACACTCCCACCTTGGTGTAACGGTAGACATGCTTTCCAATGTCTATTGGGATGACTAATACCCCCACCCTTTTTTTTAGAAAAGTATTTTTTACAATATTTACATACTGCACGAATTTTCATTTCACATGTTCTTGGATTTTGTCGGGGTTCCTCTGTGAAATGCTGTTATGCGGGAGAAGTTTGCGGTCTTTTTTCCTGCCACGTTCTCCAACTTCTTCATTGTGCACCGAAGCATTATCAACCAGATTTGTAACAGGATCTAGTTCAGTAGGGTTGGAGTTGTGGGCCAACATTTCATCCTCATAAAATGGTTCATCACCAAGCTCAGGGAGCACAGGAAAATAAAAAAAATTTGATGCGGCCATTTTTTGAAAAAAAAAACAGAAACTAATGTTAATTCGTTCATTTATAAACAATAAACAATATAAATAAACTTGAGTAATATAATGTTATGTAACAAAATTGATAAGTATAATACATTTTTTTCGGGATTTTTTCAAATTGATTGAACTTTGTGAATGAAAGAGTAAGAAATTGAGGAATCGAGAGAGAAAAGCTTAGAAGCAATATCAAAGGGACAAGATGAGATATTTTTGAGAGTGAGATGAGAAGTTTAGAGTGAATTGTTATGGTGAATATTGTGTGGGATTTAAGGGTATTTATAGGAATTTTTTGAGCAATATCTAACCAAGTGACTGTTGGGCCCATCGTGTGGCTAACGGGCCGAACATGGGCCTGTGCCGGGCCGAACACGGGCCTGGGCAAAATCACGGGCTTCAAGGGCTAGGATCATGTAACGACCCGCACCCCCACCTAGTATGATATTGTCCGCTTTGAGCCTGAGCCCGCACGGTTTTGCTTTTGGGCTCACCCTAAAAGGCCTCATACCATTAGGAGGTGGTGTCATTCCTTATAAACCATGACCCATCTTCATCCCTAGGCGATGTGAGACTGTACAACTTATTCTTTCTTGGCCTTGTGCCTCAAGGGATTGATGTTTGTCACAATCACCCCTCCTTATGGGGCCCAACATCCTCGTTGACCACAATTCCGACTGGGTAGAGTCTCTGATACCATATGTAACGACATACACCCACACCTAGTATGATATTGTCCGCTTTGAGCATGAGCCCGCACGGTTTTGCTTTTGAGCCTCACCCTAAAAGACCTCATACCATTAGGAGGTGGTGTAATTCCTTATAAACCAAGACCCATCTTCATCCCCAAGCGATGTGGGACTGCATAACTTACCCTTTCTTAGCCTTGTGCCTCAAGGGATTGATGACTGTCACCGGTTGGGCCTGAGCCGCGGGCTGAGAAGTCGAGGCCTATCCCTAGCCCGTATAATGTGTCGGGCTGGCACAGCCCGTAACAATATCGTCTCGGGCTGTGCCGAATCTGACACTGTTACGGGCTGGGCCAGGCAGTCCATGGACGGCCCGTCCTATTTGACAACTCTAGATATAAATATTGATTTGGTTATTCAATCATATGATTTGTTTGATGCTTGAGAGAAGTAACGAAGTTATATTAGGTCCCTTGATTAATGAATTGAGTGAAATTAGCTAGCAACGGTTTGATAGGATGAACATAGAAATGATAAGATGAAGTCAAGTCCCTAGTACATTTGTGCATAGAAGTTTTCATATTTTATTTTGTTTTTGTATTTATTTTTTTGTTCTAATTCTATTTTTATTTCATTGAGTTCGGTTGTCTAGATAAAGTTGAATTACGATAATCTCAGTACTTAGCGGCAATTTAATACTTAATCTATGTGGAGACAATACTCACTCATCATTTACTATCAAAATTTAACACTATACGCTTGCGGCGAACATCAATCCAACCCATTTTTACTCTCATATTCATTTGGTTAGTTTGAATCACAACTTAAATTTTTATTATAATATTTTTTTTATATAAATTTACTTTTTAACTTAAATTCTCAATTGAAAGAGTAAAATGATTGAACTAAACCATACACGTCAGCAATTTTTAGTCCAGGGCCCTTGGGTTGTGCACCGTGCACCACAGCCTACCACCGATTCCCAGTGAATTTTAGTGCAGAGATTTCTCAGATTCCCGCCTAAACGTTGTTTTTAGGGCTTTTGACATAAAAAAAATCCTTTTGTACTGCGTTTCTTGAATAGTTCCAGAACAATGGTTTCCAAGGAGCGCAAAATTAGCTCCAAGCCCACCACCGCAGCAAAGGATTCTCATGCTCAGTTTCGCGGTTTCCAAACCCTAATTTCTGCAATTCAATCCTCCCAGGTCCGCTATCTTGATCTGTTACATGCGTACATTTCTGGAATTTTAGGAGATTTAGGGTTTAATTTCCGTATCCTGTTTTTGGCAATTTAGGTTTTTGTTCGCGTTCTTCATGATTCCTTGCGATTAGTAATTTTTGTTTCAAAATTCTGTTTATGTTTAAATTTCAGGGTCTAAAGCCTCCATTTTTGAAAAGTTGGTACTGTATACTGGTGAATTTGTCCTTAAAGGAATCAATTGGGTGTTCCGACAACAAAGATTCTCCGAACTTCTCGGATACTGGGTTGAAAATGGAACCTAAAGATAGAAGACTTGTTGCTGAACGTTTGTTTGAGGAACTTGGTAATAGGTTTGAAACCTTATTCTCTGCTTTGTGTGATGTTTCTGCAAATCGAGAAAATGGGCATGCCATCTTAGGTTCAGATGTGTGGGCGAATGTTGATGAACTGACCCTTCTGTTAAGATGTTGTATGGTAATCTTGACCTTGGTTGACGAAGCTTTAGTGCTCGAGAAATTTCAAGTTCTTCTGTTGATACTTGGGAAGTTAAAATCCTTTGTTACAAGTGGAGGAAACGAGAAACGTCCTGTCACTTTCAAGAAGTTCATTTCTCGTGAATTCTCCTTCGGTGATGCTACTTCTGCCACCGCTCTTTCGGAGGATTTTGTTGCTTCTAGATCTATCTTGGAACCTTCTGAGCCATACCGTCCATTTCTATGTGCAATTCTTGAGGTATGGTTTTGAAATCATATTTTCAATTGTCTTAAGTGGGATTACGATACGCTTTCGGCTTTCCTACCAACTTTAATGGCTTTCAACTTTAAAAAGAAGTTAGTTGGAAGGATGAGATGCGTGTATTTTTCATATTCTTGTACGCCTCTTATTATTCTGTTTCCTACTAGTTTTAGTGTTAGGTTCGAACTTTGAATGAAGGAAAAATTTGATGTACTTTCAGTAAATCAGTGTTTGTGACTTATCCAAAGCCTTGTCTACCCGGTGTAGGACCTGGTAGGAGATAGAATTTAGAGAGAAGAATAAAACCAAGGTAGAGAAGAAGAATCACCAGAGAGATAGATATAAAACCATGGGGGAGAAAAAAGGGGTTCTGGGGAAATGCTCAAGAGGAGGAAAACCATTAATCTCAGTATTTATTAATTAATCTTTTCCATAATTGAAATTACTAAGTACCAAAATTATAGGCAGACCTACCAAATAACAAAGTAGGAAACTAAACCAAAATGAAATAAGGAAACTAACCCTATTTCTAAAATAGCATAAATTCCTAATTATTTAAAAAACAAAAAAGTTATTCTAATAGTGTCCCGCATCACTAACATAAATGACATTCTTTTGTACTCTTTTGTGATTGCTTGATGAAATTTTGCGCAATAATTCAGTTATTATACACATATTGGGATTTTGTTAGGATCCTAGATCCTAATGCAAGAATTGGGCTATTAACAGGGTTGAGAGTAGACAAATGGCCGTTTTTATTGATTACCAAACTCTGCTATTACATCAAGAGCTTCAGGAAGCTCTGAGATTAATGGAAATGGAAGGAAATTACAAATATGCAGGAAACAAAGATAGAAGGGATTTTCGAGGAATCCCTAACCTCCCAGTGGACAATCCAAGTAGCAAATTCGATAATCCCCACACTCCCCCCTGCTTCCCCATATATCTACCGATACTCTAACCAACTTCGCACACCTCCCCATAAGGGCCCTCCGTGCCAACCACGCTCTTACCCCGTTATGACTTAGTTGGGCCTAGGCCCTTCTCCATACCTCTCTTGGGCCTTCTAACGTAAACCTTCCGCACCGGGGGTCTAACAGATTTGGAAGATAAGAATTACCTCTGAAAGATCCTGAGGCAATGGGATATAAGAATAATCTTTCTTCCTTCCTGTAACTTCATATTAGATAAGTTCAATTGAACCTCAACTCATCTGTGAAACTTGATTTGGGAATATATTTGTTAGGTATTTGCAGATGAGCTTTTGATGCATAGATTGTTGAGAGAGTATTTCATGCTCGTTGATTATGCTTCTTGCACAAGCAGAGCGCTTTTCAGGGGTCCTTTTCTTAATGATGGTATTGCAAGTGTGCTGGAGGTTATTTCTCTTCATTTCATTATATCGTTTTCTGATGAGCAAGGATTTGAGCATTTCCTTAATTGATTAAGTTGCGGAGATTGCAAGCGTTTTAGAGTTCCTGATCCTAGCCTGAATGCGGCTGTATCACTACTTTTGAACCCCATTATTCTTTCAGCACCAAAAATGTTCCATACACATTTGATTTTGTTGGTTTCTGAAGCAATTGGTGTTAGCATGTCTTCAAATATTAGACCCTCCGTCAGACTTATGGCTTGTTACCTAACTGCATTTGAAAGGTCCGTCAGCTTGTACACTAGATACATGTCCACTCTGCTTATGGATGGTCATCCCATAGGTAGTAAAGATTCTTGTGCAAATCATGGTTCATTTGGCAGAAGGTATGAATCTTCTTTTAACGATCACATTCATGAAGTTACCAATGCGAAGATATATGATGTAGTTTGTAAATCAGATTCTTTATGGAGGTCACATCTGTCCAATACGTTTTCTAAAGAAAAACCTGACCTTCTGGCCGAATCCACTGCATACATAAACGAGAGCCAACAAGGTTTTGATGAGTCATGCAAAATGATATCTTGTCAATTTTGAACAGCATACTACTTGGAGCCTTTTCGGACAGTATAAGCGATACTGTATTGTCTCGAAAGGGGGGAACAAGTTCTCAAGATATTTGTCTTATTGCTGCTATGCTAAAGTTAATCAGCAGTTCGATGTCAATAGTCTTTTGGTGTCTAAGGAATGCCAAAGACTATAGTTGTTTGAAAGTCTTAGAAGATGCTTCGTCATGTAAGGAGTATGATTTTATCGTGGATGTTATTAGCTGTTTTCAGCAGTTTAATGTATCTTTACCGGGTCAGAAGAAATTATTTTGCCTAATGAAAACTCATCGAATTAGGCATAAGACCAAGTGGATGCTTTTGCATTTCTCAGGCTTGCTATCATTAAGTTTTGTGAGTGGGTTTGATTTGTTGGTGAAAAATTGTGCAATTGTGATTGAGACACTGATGAATCTCTATGTTTTTGAAGAGGGTAATGTAGTTACAATGAGATCATTACTTGTTTCTGGTTCAGAATCTTTTTCATCTGACACTCCTCTTGTCAAAGTTAAAGAGGTGAATATCATTTAATTTCCCTTGTTTTGTCTTTTTTTCTTTTGCCCTTATTTTTCACTTTCTCACTAGTCCCTCCTTTTCACACTTTTGAGCTATTGCTAAATGTTGCAGGCCCTGGTGGATCAGAAATTGAGTCAAAAAAAAGTTTCAAAGATTAAGAAGATTCAAACTATGTGTTTGAGGTACATGCTTCTGTTATATGTACACCACGTAAAAATTAAGTTGAACATGTTAATCTGTTAATTCTTGCTTCTATTGTTTAAGTTTCCTTTCTTTGTCAATTTCTTTTAAAATGTTCGTTACTATCTTTGCTACGTTATCCATTCAAGTCTAGCTTATGGAGTTATTATTTGAAAAAAAAAAAAAAAAGTGAAAAGACTATAGAGGTGGACTTCTACACTTGAATTCTCCATATTATGCGTTTGTTGTTCTTCTTTCTGTGCAACTATAGTAGAACGCCTTTGCAGTTTTCATACCGAATCACCTACTGCTTGTCCTTGTAGCATGAAAACTATTTGCTATACTAAGGTCACAAATTTTATTCTTTGTGAAAGAAGACATGAATGTGTTTGTATACCACAGTTTTAAGTGGAAAATATCTGTCGAACTTTTTATAATTTCCAGAAATAGTAGCATCCCATTATTGCACTTTGCTCGGTTATATTGTCTTAAAACTTTCAAAGGCGAAAGTCTTTCTAGTGTCACCTTTTTTCTTCACATGTTTATTCTGACCACAACTGGCATATACATCTTGTGGGCTACCATTTGCTATCCAAGTGATTTTATTTCTTCTATTTACCAGGTCAGAGTCTCTTCCACGCTTTCCTCTAAGACCAGAAGATAAGATAGGAGAAACTTCACAAAATGCCTCTATCCTAAAGTGCACGAGGGAGTCTACTTTTGGTGTAGAGGAGGAAACAGAGGAGTCCTACAACGGAAAGGTCTATCTCCAATACCTAACAAAAGAACCCAGCAAGGAACCTGATTATGATGAGCTAGCGGACTTTGTCGAATGCAAGCCTGGGAAGGATTATTGCAGATGGTTGAAAGATAAAGAAAGATACCGAAAGTGGAAATCAAAGAAAATGGCAGTTGTGAGGTGGAAAAAAAGAAGGATGACTTGGAAACTTATGGTACAGAATAAAGCTTAGTTGTCAGAAAGGAAGGAAATCAATGGAGCAACTTTTTATTTATTTATAGTTGTGATACCCAACAATCAAGACTTCAAAAGTTTTTGGACCCCAGGTGCATAAAACCCTGTTAGCTTCCTAACTCTGTTAGGTCCCGTTCATTTCACCGATTCGAGTTTAGAATTTGAGTTTTGTTACAATAAACAGTTCTCAAAAACAGTCACATTTAACTTTTTTGTTACAGTAAAAAGTTTTCACATAAAGTTACATTTCAACTCGAATTAAAAATTCGAATCAGCGAACTAAACAGGCCCTTAGTTTCTAAGCTTTGCATTGATTTTTATATTTATCCATCTTTTCTGTTCTGCTTTGCAGGCAGTCACGTGGACTGATGAAGGGATGGTTAAGAGAATCTTTAATTAGTTTGAACGTTCCATGACATATTCAGCTCGTGGAATCTTTTGATCATATGCTTCCGGATGTTCAGATATCCACTGATCATAAATCTGGCACACAAAGCTAGAAAGGATGTTGGTGTGCAAATTGCTTTTGTTCTGCTTGGGGAGATTGAGCAAGTTGTAGTAGTAGATTTAAAAGATCAGGTCTGTCTTTCCATCTACTCTGCTCCGGAAAGAGTCGATATAAAAACACTGCTACTGAATATATTTATTCTCTTATTTATCAAAAACATATTACAGGCCTATATGTAGATGTACACGGCTAATGAATTCAAAAAATAAGTTACAAACTGACTTTTTAGTTTTAAGGCTAACTTTAAGGCTTCTCTGTTCAATGTAACTTAAGGTGAGATTTCTTTTCTAGACTTGTAGGCATAATTTTTTCCCTCTTTCTCGGATACGTCTGCTTGTAGGTCATTAATGGAATCGGTTGAATCATATCTCCCCCTACCGATTTCTTTTCTAGACTTGTAGGCGGCAGTTTTTCCAATTTTTTTGAATTTGAGACATCTAGATTAGAAGGTGAGATTGTTGGAGAGATATTTGGGGAAGAGGAGATCGGTGTGGAAGAAGTTTCCAGATTTGTAGGAGAGATATTTGAAGTGGACACAGATTTCGGAAGTTGATGAGGGGAAGATTCTGGAGGAGGTTCCGAATCATTTGAACCTGGCTGAGAGAATTGAGAGATTTGAGAAGTGGGTTCCGAATGATTTGGATTGGGCTGAAAAAATGGAGAGATTTCAGGAGTGGGTACCGAATGATTTGGATTGGGTTGAATTAATGGTGTCGTTAGAGGATAGAGAGAGAGAGGAAGGCTTTGAATATTCATTTGAAATAGATGACCCCTGATTAGGAGGGATACAATCCCAAAAATATTCCCAATTCTCAGAATTTTTTTGTGTAAGTCCGAAATATCTGGGGTGGAAAAATTCGAAAGAAATTGATGTTGCTCCCCTTGTGTGTTCTGTTTTGTAAAATATGGTTGATTTTCAAAGAAGGTAACATCTCTAGACACAAAATATTTTCATTTTTCGGGAGAATAACATCTATAGTCCTTTTGTGTAGAAGAATAACCCAAAAATAGACACTCATGAGAACGAGGATCTAATTTACCTCTATTAGGATCATAATTATGGACAAAAGACGAACACCCAAAAACCTTAAGATCAAGTTCAGAAAAAACACATGACTCAGGATAATATTCAAGTAATGTATTCAATGGAGTCTTATATTGTAAAACCCTACTTGGCATACGATTTATTAAATAACAGGCTGTGAGTACAGCATCTCCCCAAGAACACTTTGGTACATTAGAATTGAATAGTAAAGCACGAGCAACTTCTAACAAATGATGGTTTTTACGTTCTGAAATACCATTTTGTTGTGGTGTATTAACACATGAACTTTGATGAATGAGGCTTTTTTCAGTGAGAAATTGATTTAAAATATAATTAAAATATTATGTTCCATTATCAGTACGCAAAATTTTAATATGTTCATTGAACTGCGTTTTGATCATGGAATGGAAATTTTGAAATACTTGTTCTCCCTCAGATTTTTCTTTTAATAGATACACCCAACAGACACGAGAATGATCATCAATAAACGTAATAAACCATCTTTTATTAAAAGTACTACGAACACGGGAAAGTCCCTAAATGTCACTATGAATGAGAGCAAAAGGTTTTGAGGCCCTATAAGGTTGGGGAGGTAGAAAGACACGTTTGTGTTTTGCAAGTTCACAGACATCACATTGAAAGGAATCTTTATTTCTAAACAACGAAGGAAACAAATGTTTCAAAAGCTTATCAATCCATCCCAAAAGCTTAAGCTATTAGGAGGTGGGTCAACAATAGTTTTATATTTTAACACTCCCCCTCACGTGTGGGCTGGACAATGGGCAATCGTGTGGGTAAATTAATTGAAAAGCCCAACACGTGAATATTTAAACCTGAGATATATTAAAGACCCAACACATGATAATTTTTAAATGGGGATAAAGAGTACAATTACGGAAGTTTGAACTCAGAACCTCCCGCTCTGATACCATAAAAGCTAACATGAGGGAGAGAGTCGATATAAAAGCACTGCTACTACTGAATATATTTACTCTCTTATTTATCAGAAACATATTACAGGCCTATATATAGATGTACACGGCTAATGAATTCAAAAAATAAGTTACAAACTGACTTCCTAGTTTTAAGGCTAACTTTAAGGCTTCTCTGTTCAACGTAACTTAATTCCCAATAAGATTCAACACATCAGGTCCGTTTTTCCATCTACTCTGCTCCTTTCAAGTCCAAATTTTTTCCTTTACATGGATCCAATGCTTTTACACTAAATGGAAAATTTTCTTATCTTTGATTTCAATTTATTTGTTAAATTTTCTGGTCATATGTTATATATATTTTGTCATGTTATGCTATATGCTGTCTATGTTGTTCTTTATGGATACTTTATATATGTGCATACTATCTGGCCATCCAAGTTTTAAACATCAGCCGGCCTTAGAAATTTCAGGTTTGCGAGTACACCTGTAGAGAATCAATATTTCTGACGGTGATGTTGCCATTGAGTTTTATATTGTTGAACAATAGATGATTACTCTTTAAGCCTTCTCCACAAGAAACTTAAAAATTGCATCACTTCATTAAATTTTTATTGTTGAATATTTATAACCAGCTTAAACTACTATGTACAGATTTCTGGATTTTTAAGTATAATAAATTGGAGTCATTTTATGCGGAAGGTCCACGCGAAATCTTCCAGCTCTGTCACTAATTGCCAATCTGCTAGCATAATATTGAGGGGAAAGAAAGGTGTAAAAGGAATGGTGTTTAGGATTTGAATGTTCCTGCTGTATGATGAAGTTAAAAAAGTGTGGTGAAGATGGAGTCTCTATCTCTACTTTCTTTCCATGTCCTTATAAAATTCACGATCATGTTTGTTTTGCAGGTACTCTTATTTCTTCTTTGTGCTCTATGTCCACAAGATATATCAAAGGTTGGGGTTGGCAAGCTCTCACCATATGGCATATCAGAGAATTCCTAGGAGTTAAACTTGTCATAAAGCCAGATCATTCTACTTAAAGGTTTGGTTTGTGGGTTGAGGAATCTATCTAGAAATGTAGCATAATGACAGAAAATAAATATCCCGGAAATGAACCCATACATGGGTCGATATGCTAATGTAGCGGCCAACATCTTGTCAGATGGGCTGACATGAGTCGGTGCCCGCAAATGTGATACTATGGGACGTGTTCTGCCAATTTGGAGTTCTAGAGCGATTTTTTCAACCCTTTATTAGCAGAGAAGTTTTGACATTTTTTCTTTATTACTTTAGGCCCGTTTAGTTCGCTAATTCAAGTTGAGATGTGACTGTTTCTGAGTATTTTTTATTATAACAAAAAAGTTAGATGTGACTGTTTCCTAGAGCTTTTTACTGTAACAAAACTCGAATCAGTGAAATAAACGGGGTCTAAATTTACGTGTTTGATTTTTGTGAATAAGACCGACAATATGGGTCACGACACAACAACACGATTCAAAAACGACATGAATTTTACAGGTTAAGGTTGAAAAAAAGAGGTTTATATCAAAATTGGGTCGACATGAAAAATACGGGTCAATTTTAGGTTGGATCCGTTTAACTCGAACACGACACGAAATTCTTAAAAACTAAAAAATATGTATATTTTTAATTATATATTTTAAATTTAATTATGAATTTATGATATTATGATAATTATACTATTATTTGTTTAATTTTGATAGATGTTATTGTATTTTAACGTGTTATAAATTTTAAGTTATTTCTAATATGTAAAAAAATTAAAGAAAAGTATATAATTTGTGTCAATTTTGAGTTCACGAATTAATTTCATGTCACAGGTTATTTTCGTGTCGTGTCAACTTGTAAAGTGTCGTGTTCGGATTGATTATAAATTTAAAAAAAAAAGAATCAAAACATAACATGAATACGACATCACTCTGATTTGTGAAATACACTAATAGAAACTTATGTTAGCAATCAAGTTACTTTTAGGACTATTTTGCAGCATCTACTGAGAGTGAGAGTTGAGCTTTTTGTTGATTGTAAGATGAATATTATTTCTAGTGTGTGGCGTAGGCGTGAATGATTGGATTTCAGCAAATTTTGTTTATGGTTTGCCACGCTTGTTCTTTCGTACTTTTTCAAAATGTGTTATTTGTACGCGGTCTCGTTTTCACAGCTTATCCGGAGAATTTCTGCCTCGTTTTCACGAAAATAATAATGAATTTTCCGTAAAATTATGGATATTTGTATTATTATATATACAAAAGTTTTATTTTTGAATGTGGCCAGAATTCAATAACAACTAATGTCGCCACTCGCAACTAATATCTGTCGAAAATACATTGAAATATTAAAGCTAAATTCAAACTAATAAACTATACCTATCTACCTATTAAATGAGAATGAGTTTCTACGGGATCCCTGCGAAAGGTTTCGCACATGAGAAGGGAATGTGCGAAGCCTTTTGCAAGGAGTATTTTTCCCTCCATGCAGTGAAACTTTTGTTTTCTTTATTTATTTATTTTTTTTCCTTTTGGGCCTTTTTTCTTTCTTATCTTTTGCTTTAAATCTTTTTTTCCTTCTGATTTTATCTTTATTTCATCTTTATTTCTTTTGTTTTTTATTTTTTTTAAAAATTTGTATAACTGTCATTTTAAATAATTTTTCGTGCGTGTTTTTTACTAGTAAATAGACAAAAGTCTCAACACTAATCCAACTCATGTAATATATAACTGAACTCCTAAAATTCAATCAAAAAACTAAAAATCAAACCAAAGAGTCAAAACACTAAAGAATATCCCTACTCATCTTTATTCATTTTCCCACTCTTATTCCCGCCTTTAAATCGGGGTTAATTTTTATCCTTCTGACTGCTCCTCTCTATATTATATCCCAATATGCAAATTTTTAGAGGTGGATATAAGAACTCATGGGTAAGAATGCAATCTCTATATACAAAATTATTCAAAGCACCCCTTTATCTATAATACTAACAAAATAATGATATGAAACTAATGAGTTCTTAGACGACACTACTTTTCGTTACTAACATTTTACGTATTATTCTAACCTTTTTCAACCGAGTTCATTCACTATTTAAGACTACAGTTCGTCCATTTAATATGTTGTGTATATGAAATTTGGTGTTGCTTATTTATAGCTAACATAACTGGCTAGTAGTTTTGTGTTATATGTGTATGTGTACAATATATTTGTGGGTTATGTACTGTATTTTTGCTTTTATTCAAAAGGCATGCCCTAAATTTTAAAGTCTTACATTTTTGTACCTTGACATTATATCTAATATCCAAGTTCATACATTTTCTTTATCAAAACTTGATTTTGACCCAAAAAATGCCAAATAAGCTTAGAAAGTAAAAATAAAAAAAAAAGCAATTCTAAAAATAGGAAAAAAAATAACCAAAAGGTAAATAACCTAAAATCTTCTTACTGTTGCCTAAAGTTGAAATTCCATTATTTTTTTTATAAGATTATTTCAGGTATTTTTAAGATCAAAGTCAAATCTTGATTAAGAAAAGATAGGGACTTGTGTATCAAATGCAATATAAAAACGAAGGATTTTAAAATTCAAAGTATACTTTCTTAATGAAAGCAAAATATAGGGTATAAGAAGGAAAAAAAAAACTATATCTATTAATTATATAGGCACACATTTAATAGTGATCAGGGCTGCCCTTAAAATGATCAAATTGGTGGTTCAATCCTGCATTCTCATGCATTCTTCATATTTTTGTTTCTTCATGTTTTTGGTACCAACACTTGACTTAAGAACCTTATAAAAAAAAGGAAAATAGTAGAAAATACGCCAATATGAAAAGTTTAAGAAAGTATATAGGCCAATTTTTAGTTATAGAAATTAATAGGCCATAACTTGTCAAGTTATGGTTCATGACCAGATAAGTTATGGACAAGCTTGTCAAGTTATGGTTCATGACCAGATAAGTTATGGACAAACTTGTCAAGTTATGGTTTATAGCCAGACAAGTTATGGACAATTATGGACAATAACTTGTCAAGTTATGGTTCATAACCAGACAAGTTATGGACGAAAACAGTAATTTGGCCTATTTATTAATTTATGTAAACTATTGGCCTATTAATTTTAATTCATCTTAAGTCTTGGCCTATTTCCCTCTTTTTCCCTAAAAAAAAAGGTCTTGGCTTAAGTGTCAGGGGAAGCGAAGAAATCTCTAAGGGCTGCTAGGTGCCCAAAAGGGATAGTACATATGAGTAACGAGTAGAAGACCCGATTATGCCGAAGGTCTCGCGAGGTTGAGGCATTACATTCATTGAGTGCTCAGGATTGCATAGCAAAATAGGGAAAAGCACCTTGGTAGGAATCAATATTGATAAAAACATGGGTTACAAGAGATAGCGTTAAATTTGGGGTGTGAGTTGGGGAAGTGGCGTTTGAAATATTTAGGTTTACCTGGTTTTGGGCGAAAATTTGTTGGCATTAGAGTTTTGGTTGCCAGTGATCGAGAAGGTTTTAAAAAGACTGGCCCTGTTCTTTTTGCTGATTTGAGTTTAGAATTCGAGTTTTACTACAGTAAAAAGCTCTCAGAAACAGTCACATCTAACTTTTTTGCTACAATACACAACATCACATCTCAACTCGAATTAAAAACTCGAATTAGCGAACCGAACGGGCCTTGATGGTTGGAAGAAAGGCTTCTTTGTCGGGGAGAAGTGAAGAAATCTCTAAGGGCTGCTAGGTGCCCAAAAAGGATAGTATATATGAGTAACGAGTAAAAGACCCGACTATGTCGAAGGTCTCGCGAGGTGGATCCCATAGAGGGTTGAGGCGTTACATTCACTAAGTGCTCAGGATTGCATAGCAACATAGGGAAATGGGTAAGAATGCAATCTCTATATACAAAATTATTCAAAGCACCCCTTTATCTATAATACTAACAAAATAATGATATGAAACTAATGAGTTCTTAGACGACACTACTTTTCGTTACTAACATTTTACGTATTATTCTAACCCTTTTCAACCGAGTTCATTCACTATTTAAGACTACAGTTCGTCCATTTTATATGTTGTGTATATGAATTTAGGTGTTGCTTATTTATAGCTAACATAACTGGCTAGTAGTTTTGTGTTATATGTGTATGTGTACAATATATTTGTGGGTTATTTATTGTATTTTTGCTTTTATTCAAAAGGCATGCCCTAAATTTTAAAGTATTACATTTTTGTACCTTGACATTATATCTAATATCCAAGTTCATACATTTTCTTTATCAAAACTTGATTTTGACCTAAAAAATGCCAAATACGCTTAGAAAGTAAAAAAAAAAAAAAAAAAAAAAAAAAAAAAAAAAAAAAAAAAAAATAACCAAAAGTTAAATAACCTAAAATCTTCTAACTGTTGCCTAAAGTTAAAATTCCATTATTCTTTTTATAAGAGTATTTCAGGTATTTTTAAGATCAAAATCAAATCTTGATCAAGAAAAGATAGGGACTTGTGTATCAAATGCAATATAAAAACGTAGGATTTTAAAATTCAAAGTATACTTTCTTAATGAAAGCAAAATATAGGGTATAAGAAGGATAAAAAAAAACTATATCTATTAATTATACAGGCACACACATTTAAGAGTGATCAGGGCTGCCCTTAAAATGATCAAATTGGTGGTTCAATCTTGCATTCTCATGCATTCTTCATATTTTTGTTTCTTCATGTTTTTGGTACCAATACTTGACTTAAGAACCTTATAAAAAAAAAGGTCTTGGCTAAAGTGTTGGGGGAAGCGAAGAAATCTCTATGGGCTGCTAGGTGCCCAAAAGGGACAATACATATGAGTAACGAGTAGAATACCCAACTATGCTGAAGGTCTCTTGAGGTTGAGGCGTTACATTCACTGAGTGCTCAGGATTGCATAGCAAAATAGGGAAAAGCACCTTGGTAGGAATCAATATTGATAAAAACATGGGTTACAAGACATAGCGTTAAATTTGGGGTGTGAGTTGGGGAAGTGGCGTTTGAAATATTTAGGTTTACCTGGCTTTGGGCGAAAATTTGTTGGCATTAGAGTTTTGGTTGCCAGTG